GAAACGGACCCACCAGGAGATTCTTGAGGTTCTTGAGGTTCTTGAGGGACTTCACCAGGAGATTCTTGAGGTTCTTGATGTTCTTGAGGTGACACTTCACCATGAGATTCCTGATGTTCTGTCACCGCATGTAGCTCCTTCGTCAAAGCACCATTGTCGTCCAAAGGAAAACCAACTTGCTTCAGCATCTTCTTCTCGCCTGCCGTAAGCTCGCCTGCCAGTCGTGTGGTGTAGGCAGACACACTAAGTCGCGTTCCCGTCCATGCCTGAGTGGCGTGGAGGTTGTGGGGATCGAACATCACCACTTTGTTCTTGGTCGGCAGCACGTAGCCTGTCACCATGGGTCCTCGGTCGGTCCTCCGCCGTGTAGCTGGCCATCCGTCAGGTGGCTGTCCTTGCAGCCATAACCCTCCTCCATTGTAGGTTCCCACACCAACCAAGTAGTTGTGGGTGCCTCGAGCATTGTGGTGATCACAATGGAGTCGTGTCTGGCAGTTGAGGTTGATAACGAAGCTTGACCAGCTCCCATGAGGTTGGTGATGCCAAACTGGAAGTCATTGGCATTCATAGCTGTTTGAGCAAAATGCTCTGCGGATTGTGAAACTTCTTCAGCAGCCATTGTCATAGCATCGGGTAGTTCGTCACGAAGATCCCGTATCTCGATCTCGGCTGCTGGCTCCAACTCGTGGTAGTCGAGGTGGTTTTCGGGTGGTAGCGGATCCTCCTCGCTGTCCTCCGGTATGGTCTGTTGGTGTAGTAGACGAATGTGCTTTGGAGGAGATGTCTGTTCTCGCCAGTGTCGCGCAATTGCTTGAACCATGCGCCACGGGTAGTAGGCTGTCTGAGATGTCAGGCCACCTTCAATGTTCACATGTGGATGGTTGCCGGGGCATACTTTCGCTCGAAAGGTCTTGTGGAACCTTTCATCATTGGTTTTGATCATCCACTTCTTATGAATGAAGGCTCCACTTTGATCATCACGCATCCCATAGTTGCACCCATCAACTCGACAAGTCATCCACGTCTCGCCGATCTTCTCCAAATGTTTGTCGAGACTGATCATGGGCTGCTGCTTCCAACCAAAGCACGGATGCGGCCACTCAAAGTAGATCTTGACATCTTCTTCAACCTCGAGGACGTACTGGATGAAGGAGACGGCTTCCCACAGGAGCTTCCGCTCCTTACGGCGCGCGGTCTCGAGAACTTCTCGCTTCTCCGGCGTGTTGTAGTTGACCGCTGTCCATGGACACCACTTTGTGCATGGAAGTGAGAACCAGATCCTCTTCAGAGTCCACGTAGTCGATGCCACGTCTGCTTGAGGTAGAGGTCGTATCCTTCCTGGTAGTTGATCCTCCGTGGTCGTAGTCCATGTTGTTCGCAAGCCTCGCTCAACCAACTGTGGGGCGAGCAGGCAACTTCCCACACGCCGTCGTTGTCTTGTAGATGTAGTCCACATAGAAGGTTGGACGTAGCCGCGGT